TCCATGGGCAGAATCACTTGGTTTCAGTGAATTTACATGATATAATTTGTAGTAAAAAAGTAAAGCTGTGTAATTATCCAGATGAAAATGAGTGACTTATTAAAAAGACCAATTCATTGTAGGTTTGTTTTGCTGATGATCTCCCTTAAAATTCCCACCCTAATTAATATTCATGATTACATGAATAAATTAGGCCACCTCCATATAAAGACCACCTGTCTATAAAGGACAGTTTGGCTCAGTCCACTGACTGTCCTTTATAGACAGGTTTGACTGTAGTAAATCAGACACTGGCAAGAACAATTCAATGAATTTATGATAAGTTAAACATTCTACAAAGCATCCTGTTTCAAGATCAATGGAAAAGATGAACTAACCAGGCTAATGATAAGGGTTTCACTATTCATATTTTTATATGCATGTCATTACCAAATTAACCCTGAAGACTATACTACAAGCCTGCTATTTACTTCCATCAAAATTTGGTGTGGAGTTTTTCTAGTGGAACTGCAAAGTTACACAAATCCTTTGTGTGTTTAGCAATGTCACTTGACCAAATTTCTGCATAGTTCAGAAGGACCAGTTTAATTACTGCATCAAACATTTTTAGATGAATTTGCATTGGAATACATGATCTTGACAAAAGTATTTGGTTCATTTTGAAGAAGGCTTTGTTTTTCATGTCTACCCGGTAGTTGTGCTTTATCTAATCTCCTCGTTATATTTAGTTTATCTCAAGACAAGTGTAAAAAGTTACTCTTTCTAACTCTTCATTGTTGTTATAAACTTGAATATTTGAATAGACGTATACTTGCTTTTACTGAATATTATTACTTTTGATTTAGTAATATTAATTTCTAACTTCCATTTTATATAGTATGATTGCAGGGCATTGATGGCATTCTGTGAGCCAGTTTTTACCTCCGAGATAAAAAGTAAGTCATCTGCATACTCTAGACATGGAAGCTGGTTGTTAAACAGAGTTGGTGGGTCATTGTGTGAGGAATTTGTTCTGTAATGTCATTTATGTATAAATTATAAATTATAATGCAGAAGATTTAAACCACCTCCCTGCCCAATGCCTTTAGTTGCTCCCACGCACAGCTCCTTAGCACGGGCTAAGAGGTCAAATTCCTTAGCCCGTGATAAGCAAACGTGCGTAAATGCTTAGCACAGGCTAAGGAATGCTAAGTACGGGTTAAATCTGATCCGAATTTAAGACGCGGTCTAGACCCTTAGCACGGGCTAACGAAGTGTGTGCAAATGCTTAGCCCAAGGCTCTTTGAGTGTGAACATTATGCACGTAATCAAATATATCCAACTTTCTCATTCCCAAAAAGGGCAACCGAGCTCAGTGTACACGCTTCCACACTGATCGGGTCGCTGTAGTAGAGTGTACAGCAGCTCCAATCGTAAACAAAATAAATTTGGTTCGCTGTCTACGACATGCATTAATAAAACTCTGTATTCTGTTATGCCGTTGTATACTGTTTCTGTGCATCCAAATAAGTTGGGTCCGTCTTCTCTCACGTTCCTGTGCACGTAGCTTCAAAATTAGAACGAAACATGTCAGCAGCAGGAATAGAACCTCGCGTATGTCATCCATTTTTCATTCGTAAATAGCGGCTTGCCAAAGGTCACCGACTTATGGCGCCCCTTAGCCCGTGCTAACGACTGGCCTTCCCTGTGTGTGGATGCAATTGGGTCTAGCCGAAATGCAAATATGCTCGATAAGCCTAAATGTAACGTGAACACAACTAATGATCAAACCATTTTTAACTTTCACACATCCTAAAGAATTAGTATAAATAGCTTTTGTATTGAGTTAAATTCCCTGAAATCGCATGTAGCTATTTCAACACGTTTTACAAGTACATGTATACAATTTTGTGTATGTGCCATTGGAAATCATAGAACATCAAGTTAACTTTAATGTATAAAGTTAATTTATCTATCATGGAGAATGAAATAATAAACTTAAAATGAATCTAGTTACGGGTATATACTCTCACTCTCAAAAGCAGGAATTGGAATGAAATTAGGCCTTCATTACATGGCTCCTTCTCAGCAAAAGTATTGAAATTGTTGGAGTTTGAAATCTTGTCTGTAAAAGTTTACAGATACCTGCCTAAATTAATCATTATGTACACAAACATGTGAGGATTGAGAATCCTCACTTTTATCGTGCACAGGATTATTTAGTTTTGCTCATGGATGTTTTTTTTTTCAACAACAAAGTTCACGAGTTTCAACTCGGGAATGTGTGTGAACATGAAATATGTTGTTTAGGAATGCCCTGTGATAAATTAAGTTGCCTATCTAACTTTTCTGTACTGGAATTTTCGATATTTACAGACCAACCGATGGTGAAAGTACTTAGTGTCAATATTAAAATCATAGAAACATGCTCTAAACCCAAACCAAACCTATGGGGGATTCTTTTTGTTTTTTAAATGCTTGAATCATGGATATATTTGTACGATGCACTAATCATTGAGTTGCCACCTTTCATATTTTATCTGACAAGTCATGGTCATTCATGGTGGTCAAGCATATCAAATTAGAATGACGCTTAATTGTACTGTGAATCAGCTATTGTCATGTATGACTCGAAATTTCAATATGAATACTCTAAACTTTCAATTACCTTGAAATTCGTCGGCGTGACTCTGATGTACAATTCCCATTTTGATTTTAGCAAATCGGACGGATTTGCAAATTCTTCCACTTGATCCATCTCTAGTTTCTGATGTTAAAATCTGTAAATCTGAAATGTAACAAGAACCGTGACAATTGACTGCACTGACGCTATAATTTGGTCGTGAATACAAGAATCAGGAACCGAAACACAGGAACGTTGTGGTAAACAAATAAAATCATCAAAATAAATTCTCAATGTTACCGGATTATGTGCACATAATACAATTATCGCTATGATTCCAGAAACTTGAACCTACCAACATTTGCGATTTTTTGTAAATCCCTGCAAATACCAAAAGTATCCAGGCCGGATCTGCTGGGCGTCTCTGTAAGTCGCCATCTTGTTCTTCGTTCTGAAGCTAAGAGGTCACCGTTACAAGAGGTCACCGAAAGAGGTCAGGAAACTTTCCAAACAAACGTGCGGCGAATATAATTCTCTATTATCTATCAATATTAGATATATCTTATATTAGGTTTATTTGTTTGTTTTTTAAATTACTTTCTTGTCATGAATGTTACTATATTAAATAGCTCAATCACAGCCCCTCCCAGTGTTGAGGGACCGTGGCTGAATTTACTCAAATACTTGACCTTGGACTTTGATCAGTGTACTTGTCTACAAATCTGGGTTTAGAGATCAGAGGTAAGTCTGGGGACAACTTTTAAAATGTAATTAAAATTAAATTTTTATGACAACTTTGTTTTTTGGAATGAATCTGAGTTTATATGGAAATTGTGTCACATACTTGTGGGGTGGCTGTACCCCACCCATACACTTTACTCTGTCAAGATTGTCAATTCCATATTTGTAATCATATGGATATTGTAAATCACGTCTGTAGGTAGGCCCTCACCAGCTGAACAGCATCAGACCTCACTAACGCCTGACAGAATAATGTGTCTCGTCGGTGAGATCATTACTGCGAATTTGCAAAGTTCCTACCTTCTTGCAACAAGTTCAATGAATATTCATTTTGGTGGTCAAGGTAACATTGGGCGGAAGTTTGCCAGCACCTTATCACAAATTATGTCAACAAATAATCTCTGCCAAGAATGGATATTTTTTGATGGCTGTCACTATCTGACTTTCCTGCAATTTGATTGGCACAGAAAAAAAAATCGTTGAGGGAAGCGAAAAACTACACTATTCTGTCAGGCGGTGTTGAGTCAGGCTTGTATTTATATGGAGATTATAAACCACGCACTGATATTCATGTGGTGATTTGTAATCATATAGATTGTAAACCATTCACATGAAGATAATCGCTTGCATTTACGATTATAAACACACTTCATCAGAACTTTATAAATGTATACATGATGCTGATCAAATTACATTCATTATCGTAATAACACATCAATTAATCATGTACCGGTAGATTCACCCTGAAGTTTAGAACAATTTAATGTTCATTTCTCTAATTGAAACAAGCATTTGCACATTGTGGCATCGTCCAAATTGCAGTTTCGCTAAAGCCGGCCATTCATAACCGGCCCATGAACCCGTGCGTGATCGTATTAGGAAAAGCTACATTTCACTGGAATTAAATTAAGTCATTTGATTGAAACTGCCAAGGAGCTGGCGCCACCAATCAGAGTTGCGTTTAGGCTTTGCATTGATTCACCCCAAGTCAAGAACAGGTCTATATTTATTGACAGGTTTCCAAAATTTCTTATTCCAATGTTGACAATTTTTTGTGGGCAAGTGAATGAGAACAATTGAATGTCAAAATATTTGTGCAAACTGTGTTTTAGTAAACTGTCGAAACTGATAACGTATCGACTTAACCGATTCGGTCTTCGTTTGATGATCAGTAAGCTCGTTCAGAAAAAAAGCTATCAAAACGTTTATTTTAATTTTACCAAGAAATGTGTAGTTTCTTTCATGAGTTCTGATTGGGTGATGCAAATGAGCCTAAGTGAATCTTATAATCGTTTGAGGGCGTGCAACATACAGTAAATCGTGGTGAAATCTGCCAAGGGTAAATGTTGAGGCTTCAGTCGAATAAATGGTCCTTGGCTGGCGAAGATGACATTGTGGGTGACCAACCTACATTAGATTGGATCTTTAGGAATTCAACATACATACACACAAATACAAAAGTAAACAAAAGCTAATTTGTTTTTCTTAGATATTTATTATACATGTATTTAGTAAATAACTGAAAAAAAATCACTGTATGTACATATTTATTCAACGTCTACCACAATATACAAAAGAAATAATGAAAACGTGCAACAATAAGAAAACCGGCAAAATAGGATGGTGAAGTAAATGGTAAAAAAAAAATTGCATTTATTGTATACTTTCTGACCATAGATGCACATCTGTCATTTACTAGTACGTAAACACACGTGCTACTATTAAAAGCAAAAACACAAGAAGCTTGTGGCATAATATTTCTATATGATGTAATAACTTATCATGCATTGAGAGCTGTTCTATTTCAATAGTTATTACAGGAAAGCCACACATGAGTAAAATGAACAGCTTTTAACATTCACCTTCATGTATCGTACATCATAACAAATACAAATGTACTTGTGCATCTCACATTGACAAGCCTTTGTGTTGAATAATTAAACCAGAAGAGTTCAAGAATAATGGCCACTGTGCTTGGAGTTTGTCAGAAACAAAAGAATTAACTAACTGGACAAATGAATCAAATAACATGTGGAACTTAGCCATGACACTTTCTCCTAGGAAGAACACAGCAGAGATGTTATTGATGCGAACTTGCAGTGCTGCATCACCATAAATGAATAGATTTTGAGTACAATTGACAACTGGTTGAATTTTATGACTTGTGTATATTACACAACGGGGTTATCTCAACTAAGGTTTGCTATAAACAATATTCAGTCTTTGGCATCCCCAACCCCATCAGCCAGAATGGCAAACATTGCTTCTGCTTCAGGGAGACATGGTGAATCATAAATCTTGCATATACGAGTCTCTCCACGTCCTTTACGTAGGTAAAGTCTGGAAATGAACAAAAACAAAGTTACTGCACAGCGCCCTCTATAGATGTGAATGAAATGTATTTTTGCATTCATTTAAAATTTGATACTTAGAAATTTACCAACAGTTAGAAAAAAGCACCTCATATCATAAGTTTGAAATAAAAGTTATTAGTTTACCTGGTAATTCAAATTTCACAAGTATTATGAAGCTTGTGTTAGTATTGCATATTAATGATTGTGTTGGCATTGTATCTAAATAAAAGAGACAAACCGTGTTGTTGATGCATGGGCTATTATATTTCCTCCAATTGGTTTCTTGGGATCAGCAGTAAACATTGCAGCACCGTCTACCTGGGCAACAACCTGATTCGTAATAACCACTGCCACACCAAACTGAGAACAAAATATATGACAATGTATGTGTAAGTGACTTGACAACAGCATATGATTACTCACAAATAAATAATATTGATAGCAACTGTTTTTCCCCCGTTAAAAGTTTTTCAGATGTGTCTCTTTTGTATAGAAATGTCATTTCATCGTAACTACCAGAGAGCAGTAATGTTCTTTGTCATGTTGGCAGTATTTGTTAATTGGTTGATACAATGTTTTAAAAAAAGTTAATAGGTACTACTGGTATAACTTATCAAGCAAAGTGCATTTACATTTCAAAAATCACATTTACAGACCCTACAGTTTTTAATTCTCCCAACATGTTTAGTAGCAATAGTGCGCTTAATTATTTTAACCAATAATGGATTTCTATGCCTCGAAATAAAACATGTTACCAAAACTGTAAATATATTGAATAATTCATGCCTAAATAAATGAAATTTGCAATGGATGGCAGCAAAACTGTTCATATACTAAACTTGTTTGAAGGTTGTCAATATTCACAAAATACAATTTGATATTTTTACTACTACTACATTTGTTTATTAACCTTTCCACAACCAGATTTTTCTGCACTTTTTTATTCTTTTAGGGAAATGAACCCTAATTTTGCAGCCAACAGACAAACTTTGAGTCAAGTTTTAGTTTTTCATCCCAGTCTTCTGAAGAAAAGTACAGACTATAGACAGACCACCGGTATTTTGTGAATTCACTCTGCAGTCAGCACCACCACACTCAATACCCTCCATACCCAGACATTATATTTATATGATATGTCAGGTGGGAGAAAATGTTTTACATGTAATGGCTAAATACTGACATAATATAGATAATGCAACTAAGACTTGATCCCAGTACACTATTTTAAAATTCAACTCCATATAACATGGTATACTCCAGACAACCATCCCGGTTTTGCAACTGTGTCTGGGATTGACAGGCACGAAATACTGTCCAATCAAATTAACATTATTATTCAGATTATTATATACAGAATCACATTATTATTCATTGTATGGGAAGTGACATGATGGCTCAGCGGTCTATTCACTTTGGCATAACCTTATCCAAGTTTTGTTGCTGAATGACTGTTTATTTAGAACATTGACAAACTGAAATTGAGTTGTTCTTGAAACATAATCACCAAAAGATAGTCTACCAGAACATAAAATACATCATACACCATGTTTCTCTGCCACACTGGCTATTTTTTAAGTTTTGAAGTCTCGGCCACATGACACTTTCACACCTCCCACACACATCGCCCAGCTGTGCATTTTTAAAAAGACACTTAGGTTCACAATATTAACCTGAATATTGGTTTCTTCTATCAAAGTGCATGTCAGTAGATTTCAAACTTTGTTACTGATATTCTTCAAAGCTTTTTGCATTTTCTTGTGATATGTATTTCTATATAAATTGTGAGTGCAGTGGTGCTTGAAAGAGTACATGTACTTCTAAAGATTGACCCTAAACCTTGACCACATTGCTAGAAATCTATGAAAGTGCTAATTATATTTGCTATTGAACATCACAAATAGGCAACAATTCACATCGCAAAACCTTCCATGTAAGAACATTCCCTCTCTCTCTCTCCACAACACAATATTGACTGACCTCATCAGCCAATCTGAGTAGTGTCCTAAGGAACCTTGCAAGATGCATCTGTCTTGCAGCAAGTTCCCCTCTTCCACTATAATCTGTTCTGTATAAGGCAGTTGCACTGTCCACAATTAACAAAGAATATCTGTAAATGAATTCACAATTTAGTGATCAGTTCCACAAGAATGGAGGTTTCAAACTGCAAGACCAGAGACATTTTTTTTTGGTACACCAGAAAGTGAGTCACAAAATATACTCTGAATTGATTTTGATTAAATTTTTGAACATAATATGACATCACTGTACTAGAAAATCAATATTTATATTATGGGAGTGTTTTTCTTGAATTTACACATTTCTTGAATTTTCACATTAACCCATACATTTTGTACCTCTGGTCCACAAATTATATTTTAATTAGCTGAATAATAAGTTTACCTTGATTCTGCCATCATAGCTGATGCCTGAAGTAGTAATTGTGACTGATGGTCAGAATTATAAGCACGTGCATAAGCCACATTATCTAAAACATCTTGACCAGACAACCCATACCTGATGGTAAAAAACACAATTATCCAAGTCATTGAAAATGACACAGTCCTGTTGGTACTTTTTCAAAGAGATGTATTTGTTAAACCAGAGACATCCCAATGAAACGGCAGATTATGTGTTGAAGGAAACAATTTCATGCAGTTGCAGATAAGAACAATCTATAATATCTATTTTATTGTGTAAATTGTGTGAATATTTACTGACTATTTTCACACTAGTTGTTAATTACATTAAGTACCGAGGTGAAGAGGCACCACCAGGCACACCTGTGAAAAGGTTCATGACATGTCAAAATATTTTAAAATAGACACCAGTCAGCCAAAAAAGCAAAAAACAATTGTGCATATCTATAACACCACACATTTCTAATAACAATGTATGGCAAAATGTGATGAAGATCTCACAAGAAGCATGTGAAAGCAGTCCTATTCCTTGCGTGTCAATCTAACGTATTGTAGAATACTTTATTTTCGCTTAGAATTAATTCGTTGAAGGAATGATTCAGTGAAAATAAAATCTAGTGAACATATATTTTTTCCTATATTTTACATTAAACTTGTCAAAAATCAGTGAAAATAAATTCCATACAAAACACCCAAAAATTCTTTTCAGCGAAAATTAATTCCAGCCAAAATAAAGTATTTTACGGTAGTTCAATAGTATCTCACAATACAGTAGGTGCTTTGAAATGTTGTGTAAACATAAATGAGCGAGATTATTGGAACATTAAAAACCCCAAAAATGCCTGTTACTTTTGCAATTTTGTGATCATCTTGCAATTTGCACAAAATCTTCATTTCAGGTAGGATTTTCATTACCTATCCCACACTTGCATAGCCTAATCTTATAAATCCTAGTAAATACATATACCATATCTAGTGTATTAGAAGCACATATAATCCATAAATTACATTTGGTGTAACATTAAAATATCGCTACTAATAGGGCAAATACTGTTTTTTTTTTATTTATCTTTGAAAATTACACCAAAAACATGCCCAACCATCAGCAATTCTGAATTGAATTACAAAAAAATTACTTGCATCATTAATCTATCATGTATTATGTTTATACATAGTCTGAGTAAAAACAGCCAGGGGAGGCCTGAAAAACTGTGTACGAGATGTTAATATATAGTTTTTTTTGACGAAAATGGCTGCCAGTGGGTTAAATTACAACAACATCTTAAGATAATCGGAGAGAACATACAACCCATTATGTCTTGTTTTCGTACGAAAGTACACCTGAAAGTGTTTCTGATAAACAGGTATAATACTTGTAAGTGTATACAAAATGGCCACCAGTCAGATCAAATCGTGAAGCAAAATATCGAGCATTACTAACTCACCATGAGTGAAGTAAATGGTAGTTATTTTGAAATGTTGGTTTCAAAAAAAGCCAAAGGTCAACCATATGAAATGAAAAACAAATCAACATGCATTCATCTCAGTTCATACGCATGCATGGATTCCGAAATATAAGATCCTGTTATCACTCTTGACAGGGAATTAATATGTATAATATAGTGGCAGCCATTTCTCTGTGGTCTTTTACATGTGAGCATCTGTGTGTAAGCATTTGTTTTGTTCAACCTCTTTCAAGCCTGTATCAAAATGTCAGTAATTGCATCACCAGTGTATTTAGGTGGCTTCAAAATGGCTACAGATTTTCAGACAAACTTTT